GTCGTTATAGCAAGTGTTACGTGAAAAAACGCTCATACCTACCCGTGACCTTCACAACAGCTGGTACTTAGACAGTCAGTTGCACGTGTGACGATTAGTAGTATGGACATGTGGACGACAGAATGAGAATGCACTGACGGCATTACGCGAATACTCGTTATCATTATCGGAGCAATTGGGGATTTTGGTAAGGCCATGACCCCCATATTATGTGTATCACTGGGTGGTGCGAGATAACTCATTCTATTTCTTTTCATGTACCTCCTTCTCCCTTAATTGTTCGGTGTTTTTGGAAATAATAGATGATTCTAAAATTAGCCTATGCTTGTTCAAAGATAACTAATAAATTTTTGTCTAGTTTGATATGAAATGAATGATTTTTTTACTGGTTCCTTCGATGCCATAACATCTCCCTTGAAGGGTCTAGAAAAAATGCCGAAAAGAGAAATCGATAACGACGTAGTATGTATAAAAAAATTTGGTCAAAGGTATCAGTTATAAGGGAGGGAATAAGGGCAGTTATTTTTACTTAATTGGAAACTATTTACAATTCTGTGAACGAAAATGATTTCGAGAAGAGAGAGCAAAGGAGGTGTTTACGGTTTTGGAGACTTTTTAGGGGATGAAAATCTATACCTAAAGAATATATAAACGGCGAAAGAAGAGAACTGAAAAAGTAATAACTTGCAATCTGGATGAAACATAAATAAATCATTTTTTGTCGCGGAGTCAGAAATCGTTTCTTTTCTATATCTGCAGTTGCTTCTTGTTTTCTGAAAGAAATGGGAGATAAAGACTCAATTTATATAAAAATTATGCAAAGAAGGAACAGCTCAAAATCGGTGCGAATCGCTTGAGGAAGTCGACCAGACTGCTGTAAATCCGGGATTTACCGGAAAGTTTATTTTCCAAAGCAGATTTATACGATAAACAGAAAGGATGTTTTATAAAAAAAAACAAAATAACGGTGAACCTGAGGCAAATAAACTTGTTTAACATATATATAACGAAATTGTTGCTACTTTGAATACATCAGCTCTGTACTGATGGACAAGGTTAAATTTGCGATTTTATGAAAAACAAATGGAACATAAAATAACTAAATAAAAACTTCTAATAAGACTCCTCACATTTGCGAGAGATTTTTCATCGTCATCAAGAATTATTATTAGAATATTAAATTTTTTATANTATATAATTTTTTTATTCATGTAATTGATTAGTATGAAAAATAATCGCTGAATTCCAACTTCAATAAAAATCGCTGTTGTATTGGCATTAGGTATGTTTTCATGTAATAACATCATAGATTACGTGCAGCAGTTTTTGTTATGTATCAAGTGCTTCTCTGCCCATATAGCATCGAAGCAAAAAGGCCCTCTCATATTGTAGCTGAATAAAAAACTTGCTTATGAAGTCGTTCAATTAATTTTAATTCCGTTTTTCTGTACTACCCTTTCGTTTTTATTTTATTTTTTTAATGAGTAAAGAGCTGTTTAGTTTTTGTGCTCGTTAGATCATTTCTCCAAGCTTTCCGCGATAACTCGCATCCGGTTTAACGATGAAATCGTAAAGGGATGAACGACGTGAAGCGCAAAAACCCGATACACCCACCCACAGATAGTCAAACAAAAAAGCGTTCTCACACAAATAAACCCCATTTCGTATTTCCGACAAGAACGAGACGGTATCGTTACAAAAACCTTTAATTCCGAGACGTTCTTCAGGAGATTCAGAGATTGGTTTCTATTCTACTCCAAGTGCCTACAATTCGAGTCACTTCAATAGCGATGTACGACGATAAGGCTTAAGCCTATCTAGCAGCCAAAGATATACGGAAGAAGCAGTAGCACATCGAATTCTTTTCTATACCTACATATACAGTTACTATAAAATGGGAATCATTATTTATTTGTATTATCTACAATAAATATATTGAAAGCGCAAGTCTGCAAAGTTCGCCGTGGCCCTTATTAAATATTATGTCGTAGGATGTCACGCACAGACTAGTTTATGTCAGTGCTGTGTTACTTGAAAATGAAAATCTGTGACAAAAGTAATTCGTAATACGATATTAGTTCTTGTATATAATCAATTTTTTTACTTACATTTAAATGTTTTCTTGAGAAGTGGAATGCGCAAACACGACTGAGTACGATGAGTATAAAGACGCTCTGAGTTCATAACCTAACCTAACCTAACCGAACAAGTCGCTGGCGATGTTCAATACAGCGTTGAAACATAACAAGACAAGACGGAAAAATTGACCATTTTATCCACTACAATTGCATTGCTCAAATGTGCTGTTATTGGTACCATTTACTACTGAAAATCTCAACGAGATGTTTATTTATATTCGAAGACATATTAAAGGCTTTAACGCTTGTTTTCGACTCGCACTACTATTCATGATTGAACAAAACTTTTGCCAGGTACTGCATGAAAAAGTATGTTTAATGAACAAGAGTTGATAGTATAATGAGCTTTTTTCTCCCACCTACGATTTTGCCAGCGCGCATCCAAGGCATTGGAAGGGGCACGTCGCTAGAGAAAGTAAATGAAGTATACTTGTAGAGCATATTACCTTTATTTAATATATTGCAGGTTCCATTTGCGTTATTTGTATCTACGCTTTAGAAAAATAAACAGCAAATAAACGTATACAATCTGTATTAATCTTTGAATTCAAATAACAACAATTTTATTAATTAATACCGGCTATAAATTTACACAGAAAGTCTTTTGGCTTCGGGTCGTATGATTCTTTGAAACAAAGCGACATTACATGATGCTTACTGGTCCAAACGTTCACTATTTCTTTCAAGAAAATTTGCCCTTTTACGACGAGCATGTCGATAACTCGGATATCCGTCACATCTTTATGTTTCATAAAACATTCACGTAGTTTTACTCTGCACTGTTCACGGGATTTTGGAATGTCGTAGCGCATCACCAGATATGGCAGCGTCCTATACCAAGCTCGGTACAAATTGAGAACTCTGAAATGAGCTTCCTTTTTATTAATAGATAATAAAGGCCTAGCACGAACGATCTGGGACGTCATCGTACAGGTGGAAATGAGTATTTAACGCGGAACAGAAATATAACATAAATAAAAACAAAACATGTCAAAAGTCAATTTTTGCAAATATTTAATATACTTAACACAGGGTACTTGATAGTGTCACGCAGTGAAGTTTTAAGGAAACTCAAAAACCATTTTAGACTTTAAAATTAATTATATATTTCATAATTATAGCGTTGCAATTCTTTCAAAATTTATAAAACAGATACTGAGTTCATTTTCATTTTCGACAGTAAGCGAAAAGAATTATCTATGTACAAGCAGAAATTGACGCAAGTTTGATAGTTCTGGTTATTGTGAAAATTATGGAACTTCACGAAGTCATCGAAAAAGACAATGGAGGTTTCTGACCTAGTTAGTATCGCAAATTTCGTCAGTTTTTCGTTAAATCAGCTAAAGAAACTTCCAGAACCAGTGATTTACCAATGTTGAACTAATTAAAAAATAATATACTAGCCGAAGATGAATATATATATAATAAAAAGCAGCTGCATTCATCCCAACATAAAATAATCACGATTATGTTCTCAAAGAAGCAAATTCTATGTGTGTAACTGTTACAGTTGGAAATATAGCTTGGTCTATTGGTAATTTATGTTTGATAATTTTAATTTAAATAAGACTGGTGCTTCCACCTCGTCATTGGAAGCTTAACTAAAGTTAGCAAACATTTATTGTATGACCAGAAATTCAAGAAAAAGCACTCACGTTGAACATTGATCCCACATTCCAGCAACTAAACGCATATTTAGCAAAGGGGTTACAGAAAACTATAATAATTAAAAATATTACTGTTAGTTTATGGAATACTGATTATGATACGATTTTTTAGAAGATATGTTTTTGAATGATTCCGCACATCTATACATACAAATATTAGTTATTTTAAATTTACGGCTCCTCTCGGCCAAAGTCATAACAGACATTGCGTCCTAAGCGTNACTATGAATATTTTAGGAGTATCTAGAAGGCATAAAGCATAAATTCGAAAACGATTAATTATAATTACTTAATGTCAAAATTTGTGACTAAAAGTCATACCAGTAATATACCAAAATTATCACAATGACGTACGATGTTTCATCCATATATGAGCTTCTGGGAAAATCGGCTGTAATACACATTTATTCATTTCCAAATTTTGTGTTGGAAACGTTCCTGTGTCTGATCGTATGCCTCATGTATTTAGCCCTTCATTATGAAATTAATTTTGCAAACAATAGCAAGATAAACATTGTATCCAATTTAGCAGGTAAAATATAATCAATTAATTATTCTTATTACGCTAGAATAGGTACCTGTTTGTTGGCTGTCCGTTGTATTTTTCATGGTAGATCTTGTAGCGAGCACGAGTGTGTTTGTGTGCGATCGAGCACACGTGTGTGTGAACGGCTTATCGATTCGCCGACTAGCCGCGGGTGCCTTTCTTCATGTGCGGCGTATTTGTAAATGTGTGTGTCGTACCTGCGTTCTGGGAAAGCAGTTAAACAGTTCAAAGAAAAAAGAAACTATCCGGATGTTTCGAGCAGGCTCCCGAAAGTAAACAAAAGAGTATTTAAAGGAAGAGACGATCGCCGAGAAGAGGTGAAATAAATCGACCGTTGCAGAGATGAATCCAGAAATAAATTGACGGTGATAGCAGTGAAATAAATAGCGCAGTGAATAGTGATCTATCAACAGTAGTGTAAATAAATAGAATAACTCATAAATAGTTTTTGTCGTTATCAGTATTAGAAGTTAATTTTGTTAAACCCACGAACATTACAATATTATGTTATATAGAAATCAGTTCCTCAATATTTTACAATTAATACTGCTTCATCCCTAAACTTATGAGTAGATTTTCGATTAACAAACTAGCAGTTAATAACAATAATGTTTACGTTTTTTAGAAAGTTACAGTCAAGACAGTTTATCGACAATGTTCACTCAGTACCGTTACAGGAACTCGCATAGGAAAAAGGGCTCGGCAGATTGGTCGCTCAACGCCAACCGGATGATGGGTGATTATGCAGGCGCCATTAAAACAATCCCCGAAGAAAGGATGAGATATATAGATAATCTGATCACACTCACCCCCACGGAATTCGTACAGGTTGATAAGGAAAGGAGATTGAGGGATCGTGAGTTGAGCGGTTGTTTGAAATCGCTGACGTCGCTCTGCGAAAGTGTTATAATGAAAAAGGAATCGAGAGATACAATCAGGAAACAAATCGAAATGGCTAAACAACATGCAGAATACGTTAAAAATTCTACAAAGAATATGCATTTGGATACCGCATATATGACCAAATCGTTTTTCGATTTAATGGAACAGTTGGTTACGAGGAGCAATTTGGACAATCCCGTCCCATTTAAAGGGGATTTTACAGGTCATTTTAAATTTAAAACAAATACCTTCTCATAATAAACAGTAGTTACCTAGGATTAGCCAAAAATTGTTTACGATGATATCGTGTATATAATGTTTACAGCACCTCAATTTGTCTGTTTTTGGGGACGGGACATCTTCAGGTCTCTTCCGATGTATACAGAAGGGTTTCTGTTTCAGATAATCTATTTACATCGGAGGAGCCCTGAGAATGACCGTCTGACGAGGACAAAATGTCGATGACACAAATTTGATAATGGTTGAAGTCTTTGATAAAAACAATTCGGTTTTTACGACCAACTTCAGGTGCCAACACAGCCAAGAACTTTATGCTCTCGCTATGTTCCTTGAGCATGCTAATTCTACAATAACGGGGTGCAAACCAAGAATTTTGAAAACTTGGTATGAATTATAAAATAATAATATAAGCTATGAATTAAATTACGTAACTTCGTCATCAAGTCAAAAGAAAATTGAATTATGAAAGTGGGAAAACTTTTTATTATTCTAACCATGATAATGTTTCGCCTTCCTCAGATGAAATAGACGATTTATTTAAAATATTCTGTTTTGAATTTACAATTTATTTAATGTGTCTTAAACTCAGTTATTAACATCGATTGTCTTTTCGTTGTATTCACTAACCACTCCTTACCCGAGATAAAAATGTTCAGTCCCTCAGTCTTGGAAAGCGAGACTCGAGTCCCCGTCTCTCATCGAGTCTCTCTGGGTCGCTGAGAGAGACTGTCGAGAGACTGTCAAAAAAACTGTTTAGCGTCTCTGAGCGAGAGACACGAGTCGCTCATAGAGAGATCTTCATTTCGTATCCAGTCTCTGAACGAGAGACTCGAATCTCTCAACAANGAAACAGTAAGCGAAAAGAATTATCTATGTACAAGCGGAAACTGACGCAATTGACGATAGTTGTGGTTATTGTGAAAATTATGAAACTTATCAAAAAAGACAAAAAGGGTTTCTGACCTAGTTGGTATCGCAAATTTCGTCAGTTTTTCGTTAAATCAGCTAAACCAAAGAAACTTCTAGAACCAGTGAACAACCCATGTTGAACTATGTATAATATTAATAATTAACAAAAAACCCAAAATAACAAAATACCTCGAGACAATATCATAAACAAATGGTCTCTCTTTAGAATCAATTGTATTTATGATATGGTGTAATTTGTTTAGCATTATTTGTATTGTTTTGGTGAAATGACATAAAAAGCATTTTGTTTTATGAACAATTTCCAAAAGATATTTTTCGTAAGGTATACTTTCAGTTGATGTAGTTAACGAACACTGTGTTACTATGAATATTTTAGGAGTATCTAGAAGGCATAAAGCATAAATTCGAAAACGATTAATTATAATTACTTAATGTCAAAATTTGTGACTAAAAGTCATACCAGTAATATACCAAAATTATCACAATGACGTACGATGTTTCATCCATATATGAGCTTCTGGGAAAATCGGCTGTAATACACATTTATTCATTTCCAAATTTTGTGTTGGAAACGTTCCTGTGTCTGATCGTATGCCTCATGTATTTAGCCCTTCATTATGAAATTAATTTTGCAAACAATAGCAAGATAAACATTGTATCCAATTTAGCAGGTAAAATATAATCAATTAATTATTCTTATTACGCTAGAATAGGTACCTGTTTGTTGGCTGTCCGTTGTATTTTTCATGGTAGATCTTGTAGCGAGCACGAGTGTGTTTGTGTGCGATCGAGCACACGTGTGTGTGAACGGCTTATCGATTCGCCGACTAGCCGCGGGTGCCTTTCTTCATGTGCGGCGTATTTGTAAATGTGTGTGTCGTACCTGCGTTCTGGGAAAGCAGTTAAACAGTTCAAAGAAAAAAGAAACTATCCGGATGTTTCGAGCAGGCTCCCGAAAGTAAACAAAAGAGTATTTAAAGGAAGAGACGATCGCCGAGAAGAGGTGAAATAAATCGACCGTTGCAGAGATGAATCCAGAAATAAATTGACGGTGATAGCAGTGAAATAAATAGCGCAGTGAATAGTGATCTATCAACAGTAGTGTAAATAAATAGAATAACTCATAAATAGTTTTTGTCGTTATCAGTATTAGAAGTTAATTTTGTTAAACCCACGAACATTACAATATTATGTTATATAGAAATCAGTTCCTCAATATTTTACAATTAATACTGCTTCATCCCTAAACTTATGAGTAGATTTTCGATTAACAAACTAGCAGTTAATAACAATAATGTTTATGTTTTTTAGAAAGTTACAGTCAGGACAGTTTATCGACAATGTTCACTCAGTACCGTTACAGGAACTCGCATAGGAAAAAGGGCTCGGCAGATTGGTCGCTCAACGCCAACCGGATGATGGGTGATTATGCAGGCGCCATTAAAACAATCCCCGAAGAAAGGATGAGATATATAGATAATCTGATCACACTCACCCCCACGGAATTCGTACAGGTTGATAAGGAAAGGAGATTGAGGGATCGTGAGTTGAGCGGTTGTCTGAAATCGCTGACGTCGCTCTGCGAAAGTGTTATAATGAAAAAGGAATCGAGAGATACAATCAGGAAACAAATCGAAATGGCTAAACAACATGCAGAATACGTTAAAAATTCTACAAAGAATATGCATTTGGATACCGCATATATGACCAAATCGTTTTTCGATTTAATGGAACAGTTGGTTACGAGGAGCAATTTGGACAATCCCGTCCCATTTAAAGGGGATTTTACAGGTCATTTTAAATTTAAGACAAATACCTTCTCATAGTAAACAGTAGTTACCTAGGATTAGCCAAAAATTGTTTACGATGATATCGTGTATATAATGTTTACACCACCTCAATTTGTCTGTTGTTGGGGACGGGACATCTTCAGGTCTCTTCCGATGTATACAGAAGGGTTTCTGTTTCAGATAATCTATTTACATCGGAGGAGCCCTGAGAATGACCGTCTGACGAGGACAAAATGTCGATGACACAAATTTGATAATGGTTGAAGTCTTTGATAAAAACAATTCGGTTTTTACGACCAACTTCAGGTGCCAACACAGCCAAGAACTTTATGTTCTCGCTATGTTCCTTGAGCATGCTAATTCTACAATAACGGGGTGCAAACCAAGAATTTTGAAAACTTGGTATGAATTATAAAATAATAATATAAGCTATGAATTAAATTACGTAACTTCGTCATCAAGTCAAAAGAAAATTGAATTATGAAAGTGGGAAAACTTTTTATTATTCTAACCATGATAATGTTTCGCCTTCCTCAGATGAAATAGACGATTTATTTAAAATATTCTGTTTTGAATTTACAATTTATTTAATGTGTCTTAAACTCAGTTATTAACATCGATTGCCTTTTCGTTGTATTCACTAACCACTCCTTACCCGAGATAAAAATGTTCAGTCCCTCAGTCTTGGAAAGCGAGACTCGTGTCCCCGTCTCTCATCGAGTCTCTCTGGGGTCGCTGAGAGAGACTGTCGAGAGACTGTCAAAAAAACTGTTTAGCATCTCTGAACGAGAGACTCGAGTCGCTCATAGAGAGAGCCTCATTTCGTATCCACTCTCTGAACCGGAGACTCGGATCTCTGAATTAACAATTGTTCGAGTGTCTCATACAGAGACTGTGAGAGATCCATAAAAACACCTAGGCAGTAACTCAGGGACTCTGAGAGATGCTTTCAGAGACGCTGAGAGACTGGAGAGACTGAAAATTTTTGTCTAGGATGATCCAGCTATACTTATAAGGGCGAAACGTAAATATAAATTGACATGATTAAAACTTTTTTATCGTTTTACAATCCATTTTACTGATAAAAAATGTAAAGAAAGAAGAAAACTGGTATTTTGAGTTTATATTAATCTTCTTAAATTAACTAAAACGAAGTAATCCCGAAGATTTCTTTTATTCCGACTTTGAGTTGCCTGCAAGGAATCGTTTAATCGTAAGTCATGGTTACTTACCGTAAGCCGCTGTTTAAATTACTCTTGAATTTTTAATATTCGCTTAGCAACTTCAGAAGTTGTTTCTAAGAAAGCGCACAATGAATGCACGTCAATTTCCACTGATGCCTTAAATAATTATAATATTTTCCTTCAAATCTCGTTGGACTTCCTTAATTATAATAAGGAGGATCTCCGTTCTAGTTTAGCGAATAAATAAATAATCACGAAATGTTCAAAACACTCTATTATAAATTTAGCAGGTTTAGCTTTAGACGCGGGAAAATTGGACCCATTAGGATCGGATTCCGTGGGAGCGTTAAGAAGAACGTCAACTGACACAAGCATTAAGTCCGAAGATTTAGTAACGGATGAATTGCCGCAGGACACAATCGATGACGAGGACTTTAGCACCGCAGTCAAGAAACTCCCCCTTTCCGAAGAATATGGAGATTATATTATTAATCACGAAAATTAATCATTTTTGTTCTTTGTTCACATATATACTTATAACAAATGAGTTTTAAATTATCTTTTGACAAAGTGATCGACAATTTGGTTTAATATTGCTTTCAATAACTTTGGACAATATTTGACTTTTTGTAGTACTGTGTAAGTGGGTGGTGAAACTATTGCTAAAATTTATTGTAATCGTGAATGTATAATTTTATTTTAAGTAATTGTTCGTAAATTGGTGTAGTTAAAAATGTAATTTTCATCAGAGGTGTTTCAATAAATCTCTTCTTTGAAGGTGTGATTTAGAAAAATTAGTAACTCCTGTTTTCATTCGCTCCTTAAAGTCTAATTTACACGTGTCCGTGATATAACCGGACTGTATCCGTGAAAAAAATTGGCTCATTACCGTTGAATTATAGGTACCAAAAGACGGTAGTTGTAAGTTGTATATTTATTAAGTAAAAAGTTAAATAAAACGTTCGACTGTACAAACAAAACCGAAAAGCCGAACAAAATGCGATTGTGTGTCAGTATAACGGTTAGGTAGTAAAGTTCTACGCCTCTGGGGCTTATCTTGAACTTTGTAGTGACGCTCGTGAAGTTTTTTTATTAAAATAAATTACCATCCTGTGGAAAGTTAAATTTCTATCAACATATGTCTTATACACCTGGCGTTAGTTTGTTTCTAACAATTTCCTATATTCTTGTACATTCACTGTACAGCAAAGTTCTTAAGCAACGCGTTATTGGTATGATAATCTGTCCATGAGGAAATTGCCATGCGTTTTAAACAATTTTTGTGGAAAGTTTCGTGTCGAAATCTTATTATTCCTCTTGGGGATATGACCAAGTTTATTAAGGGACGTGATGTGCATATGAATTGATGGAAGTATGTTCATTAAAACGACATTGAACATTTTTCAGAGAAAGACTAGTTATGCAAAATTTATGTAAATGTTGGCTTAACTACTGGAAATAAGCCAATTAAAATGCCTTTTTAACGGCCATTCCCTGGAAAGAACAATTTAAGTGAATAGTTTCCATTTCGAGAATAAAGATGAAACGATTTTAATCAAGAAAATTACACTTTTATCTGTTCCCCGAACTCTTTAAGGATCATTTTTTTAATCTAATGGCCGAGATGAAATAGTTGTAAATTTATTCATCCCGAATTTTCCTGATAGGGGAGCTTCTTCTTTTTACTAATGGATTGTAACTATAAAGATCAAAAGCAATGTCCTCTGTACAAACTCCTCTGTGAACTTGAAATTGTAAAGAAACTTTAGAAAAAGATGAATAAGTTAAACTATGACAATTGTTACAAGCTACAATTTACGTACTTATAAAAAATAATAAATACCACGGAATTACATATAAATCACTTATAGATACATAAACAGAACTTCGTTAATCTATCTATAAACCATGTTTATCTTGATTAATATTATATACTAAAAAAAATTTCCTAAACGTACTGACCAATTTAAAGCAAGCAAACGGTAACGAGTTATTTCCCAGAAATGCTTTTCAACATTCCATTCAGGAATTTGCGAATTTGCTAAAACAATATTTTTTGATGTAATGTTATCAAAAAACACTTGTCAAAATACCACAACTTGTTTTTAATTATAAATCAATTTTAAAAATTATTTTAATCATTCAAAATATTTAGGAGTTGATCGCTAGAAAATACGTGCTCAGGTTATTGTTCGGCATTTTAATTAACGGTATATGAACTTCCGACGAATCAGTCTGTTGGGGTAATTCGGCCGCTGCTAAAGCTCTGGATTTTGTTGTCTCGAAAACTCGAATCTAATTTTAATTCACAGGAAGCAAAAAGTTCGTGGATTTGTTTTAGCTTAATTAGAGGACAGCGTTCTAACAAATGAGCCAAACGGATAAATAATTATGAGGAACATCTTCATATTACACAACAAATAATATACAAACAAGTAAAGTATCTAAAGCAATAATTGTAATTTTCATTTGAATAAACAAAAATGTACAGCTGACTTCTAAAACGTAGACGCATTATATAATAAAACTATTTGCTCGACGTCGGGTATTTTTGAGCATTTATCTATCTACCCTTTATTGACCTTTTGAGTCATGCAAATTAGATATCTTCAAAAATTAATATTAAAGATTAATATGAAAATATTAAAAGATTAATACTGAAAACGCTAATTTTGAGAGAATCACATATATTGAAAGTAGAAAACAAAATAGTTTCATATAATTTATATATTAAAAAAAATTTACTTAGTTGGTGTGATTACCACTTACTGTAATTTTCTGAAGTAGCTAATACGACACGCCATATAGTGATAAATATATAAATTTTCAAGCCGACAGTAGACATAGATGTGAGGTATTAATAAATACTAATTACTCTTTTACCCTTCGTGAAACTATCTTGATGCTGAACTTTTAATTTTTGAATGAGACGTGAACTAAACGCTACACCAAAACCCTGCGTTTTAGGGGTCAAAATCATATCAGACAACAAAAGTTAAGTTGCGCGCGCTCTGCTAACGAAAATTCGATAGTATGAAGTTAGCAGTGTGATATTAGAGTACGTAATCGAACGATTATGCAACCAACTATACATCCAAATAAAGACACTTAGACCCGCCTACTTTTCTCCAATTGTTTATTTCCAACTGGAATACGCTAAAATTAATGATTCTAATTAAATAAAAGCATCCTGGAAATCGAAAGTAGACCCAAGTAATACTTTTATTTAAACGTTTTATTAATCGTGAATGTTGCACCTACCGTCAGTTATCTTGTTTCAATAAGTTATTATGATTAGAAGGCGAATACGATTATTTACGCGTTTCAATTCGCAAAATTAGCATCTAAGTTTGTTGGTACAATAATAACAGTTGTTCATCGCATAATTGATTAACCCTGCAAACATTCAGCAAGAAACCGTATTATCGCACACGTAATGGTTCTCGATATTAGCGTTCTGTTGTTAACGGGGGTGTATTTAATAAACTGATTATATGGCTTGGTACATTCGGATCGTTTTCTGCAGCGTGCGGGTTCGTGGACTAAGTACTTCAAAGGTAATTAACACAAAGGTGGCAACCGGGCAAGTTCCGCTGCATTTGCTTTCAAACAAGTTATCAATTCAGTTAAATCAAGCACTTGATTAAGTCTGTCATCCTTCAACTAATTGTTAATTGTTCCACTGTTCATCATCACTCTCCTCTCTTTGTCATAAATTACTATTATTTATTTTCTATGCCGAGTCGTCTCATCAAACAATAAGTTAATTAATGTTGTATTGAACCCTAATGAAATAGTGGAGGACATAATTTAATAAAGCTACCAGAAATGGGTATAATCCAGGAACTCACAAAATGGAGTGTAGACTCGCTATAAGGAACTTATTTAGGACGAAAGACTACTAATCACATATTGTGCCAATTCAAGTCACTCTACATTATTTTAAAAAATGTGAAGGAGAATGTAGAACGTTACGGTTCGTGTAGGGAAGAATAAAGTTAAAAGTACAGCTTGATTTTGCAATATTTTAATAGCTTACTGAGCTGTGAATGGAAATATTAAAATGTAAATATTGATGTATGATTCAATCTCAAACTGTTGCCTAATACGTTCATCTTCTGTTTCAATTAGGGTTGCCACCCGTACTTTATTATAAAGTATTGTACTCTATTTCGACTGTGCGTACGTTATACTTTACAAGACCCGTAAAGTACGCAAAAGTACTTTATTTAAGGCCTTAAGTAAACATCGTAATTTTGTAAGCGATTATTCGAAATTCAGAGTACTTTTACATCAATAATATTGCACAAAAAAAATGGCAAGCGATATTTACGGAACAACCTGATTTCCCAAATCTGTTCAAAGTAGTGTCACTTTTGCTGTCCATTCCGGCCAGTTCAGCATTTACAGAAAGAGTATTCTCTGTTATGAATGCAAAGTGGCGGGACAACAGGAATAAAGCTTCATTAAAACTAATTAAAAATGAACTTTTAGTTTACTTAAATCTTTGGTTGCCATGTTTAGAGGCTATTAATGTATTTAAGAGCGACAGCAATTTGTTACTGGCTACTAGGTCTAACAAAAAATATGTTTTTAAAAACAAAAAATAAAATACTTTATTTTATGCTTAGTAATTTTTTTTTAACCTTTTAGTCGAGAAATACTTTATGTAAAGCCTGAAAAGGTGGCAACCCTATTTCCAATAGCTGAAGCTTGACAGTGTTCAATATTTTAACTTTTGTTTTTTGCCTTGACTACTAAACAGACGAAAATTCATTTTTTTTGATACATACGACGTGGGACTTAATTTATAACTTTTTGTATGTATTTTATTCAGACGTGAAAATCATTAAATATTAGGTACAATCAATTTGGTTATATATGAATACGAAACTTATTTTCTTTTCGTGTAGAACGGAGTAGTAAATTACGAAGTTATATATGTCACCAAAACAGATATAAAAAGTTCGATCCGATCATTAAGAGTGCAAACCAGGGAATAAAGTGGCATCGCGATTTATCATCCTTTGACCGAATGTCTGGGTCTCGGCAAGTTTAATGTACGGTTTGTTCTGATCTATTCCGTCGACTACGAATTGAGTTGTGGTTTGTAGACGACCCAGAAAAAAGAGCTTTAGAATTCGACGTCGACAGTATAAATTCGTCGTAAGGAAAAAGGTAAAATAAATCGCCAAGCGCCGCTTGTTCGATTCACGCGCGCTAAGGATTTTATTTATACGTAAGGTTTTAATAAACTAATGATACATATTTATTGTCCCTTTCAAAAATCAATTACTGTTTTTAAAATAATAATCATTTAACCTTTTATTATAATACATGTACAAATACAATTTTTATATAATATGTTTGAATATGAACTATTCAATTTTCTAACTCGGCATGTAACAGACGGACAGACGAAAATGCACGCGAACAGTTGCATGAATAATTTTATAAAGTTTCTTTGCCTTTTCTTCCATGAAACAATTCTAGAAACTCGATTTCTAGTAAGCATAAACCTCGAAAACTTTTTTTTTAAAGGTTCCGAATGAAAAATGGAACCGTTATAGGATCACTCGTGTGTCTGTTTGTCCGTCTGTCATAGTCAATTTGCTCCGAATATACTGGACCGATCAAGTTGAAATTTAATACACATATGAATTAATGTGTGTCTAAACACGGACGCATAACGTAAATAAATTAATTTTAAATTAAATAAAAAGGTATTGCAAACTGAATCGTGTGACATATCAAATCAAGGGGATTGTTATAAGAGT